GATTGCCGCAGTTGCCTGCTAGCAGGCATTCGCATAGTAAGATTGGACGCGGATGTTAGTGTTCGTAGTTGAGTCGTAATATACAAATTGAGATATCTTGCTTCAGTATCGCTTGAGTTCATCCAAGCTGATTTCTGCAGCCGAAGCTGACCGTAGCTACTAAATGTACACGGTCTAGGTCGATAGCCGCTATTTCAACTGCTCTGTCATGCCACTTAAAGCGTGATCGTAACCATCGTAAAGCGGCTGACCAACACTACAGAAGTGCAATTCCAGTAAATCGTACATCGTAGCGGGAGCACGGTAACTATCACGAGAAACCCCTTAGGCGAAGCGATCACTAAAAGTCATTTTGAAAATTCGGTAGATTGAGAGATTCAACAACATGCGTTTCAAAACGAAGCCTTTTTTATCCTAGACCTAAAAGAGCACGACCCGAGTAAAAATGAACCCAAATGTTTTACATCAGCCTTTTCTAGGCATGGAGTAACACAGTCGTCGTTTAAAACGCACAATTACAGAATTTCGTCAAATTACCAGTTTTCGAAAATTGACTTTTGGTGACTATATCGCCAAAAGGGGTTTCTCGTGATCGCGCTCGCGTTTCAGTTACGATGAACGATTTGTTAGAAAGTGCATTTCTTAAGTGTTGGATAGTCGCTTCACACTGGATACGAACGTGTTTGGACAAACATGCCAAAGCAGCAGAAATACCTGATAACGACTGAGAGCCTGTTGGTTAATCAGCTTCTATCAGCTATGGCTGCAGCAACTAGCTAGGACGGACATAAGCGACAGGAGGCAAGACAGATTGCTTAGGCCCAACAAAAAATGGTAGAATCCTCCTACCACAGCACTGTTAACTTCTTCCCTTGGCTAGCAATATGGCTATCGAACATAATTACCTCCTAGTTGGGGAAGTTGTGGTGCTCTAGTCTGTGCGCTCACTCCCAAAACTAGCGGGGGCTCTTCGCGCGATCGAAAACACCAAAGTTTGCACATTTCTGACTCAAATATGATCACTAATCCCCGCGTCCAATTTGTGTGCGAATTTGCTGCTTGCAGAGACAGCTACGGCAATTTAAACAATGTTGAAAATGTTTCTGTGATAGCGATCGCAGTGATAAAGTTACGTAAAAGCGCGCCACTACAATAGTTCCAGGCGAGACATACTGCCCTACCAAAGGCGTTCCAATCGCGGCGTGGGTCATGTTTGGTGGACCTATTGACTGCAGCTATGATGGCGTCAAAAAGCGACAATTTTTCAGAATGGAACGCTAGTAGCAGAAGGAAGGACTGGAGCAGAGTATTACTTTTTCCGCACCGATGTCGTCATTATATGCTTTGGGAGAAAACTTGAGTAAATAGCGAAGTTAAATTGAGTAAGTGGGATCTACTGTTGACGACATCCGACGTCTTCTGAGTTACGTTTGAGTTACGTTTGAGTCACTTCTGAGAATTTTTCAGAATGACCTAGCCGAATATAACGCGAACCCAGCCGTTAAGCTTTTGACTCAAACAACGGTGTTTGCACAGAAAGCCATTTTGCATGCCTCAAAATTGACCGCTTTTGCTTAGTCTGAAATCCCCAAAACTACTCGTAGTGGTCTAATTGCTCTAATTTCATCTACTAACACTGGACGCGGGGACTGTTGCCCAACAGCTGGCCGCGTGCATTACCAAAACATCCCTCGTGCGTTTGTACTCTGTTACGAAGTACGAAGCCAGGAAAGTCCCGACCAGGATACAATCGATGCGTGATGTATTGTAAAAGTAATGGGCGTACTTGCTCCACATGTGTCGACACTTACCCTCAAATTTGGAGAGCTGCGGTACTATTGACGAATAGTAGCGAGGGCGAAAGGTGAAGCTATTAGCGACTGTGCATAAGGTGAACGCCGAACTTGAGGTAGGGAAGCAATCTCCAGAGCTCGCTTTTTGATGTAGTACTTCAGTTCGGAGATGTGAATGAAGTCGCAAAACAAAATGCAACAGCAGTTACTGTAGAAAGAGCATGATGCTTACAATGAATGTATTTACCGAGTACAGTTGGCCAGGAAAACGCGACCGGCCTTTGCGTTTGAGCGTTCAGCATTTGCTGATGCGATCATATTCACCTCTGATCAATTTGAAGTCAATCACGTGCGTCACAATAGTGACCTAGCCAAAGAGTGACTTTGAATGTACCTACAACTAGGCCCTGGCAAGGTTTGGCAAAAGGTTACCGGGTTACAGTTATAGTTATTGTTCTACCTTTGCCTTACCACTACCTTTACCCGGATGGTCTGTGGATACCTTTACATTTACCTTACTACACCCTTTTACCTGGTTAACTATCTGGTAAACAAGCGTTTGAATGACAGATGGAATTGGTGGAGTTGCAGGTACATTGATGATATGACATCGCCGGCCTATCAAAATAGATTGGTTGGGTGAAATGGCGTAGGATCAAATTTGTGCTCCAGGTGGTAAAGCGAGCACAATGCACTCTTGCTGTAATTTATCAGAGCTCACATTGGGCCTCAAATGCCATATCGGCGAATTGGTTGCGCAGCAACTGTACAACCTCATCGTCAAGGATATCCTCGTCCCAATGATTCTGTTACATCTTGACCTGCGCAACGACGGACTGCATGTCATTGGCACAAGACTGTACAAGCACAACTGGCACTTGCGCTCGATTCGCCGGCACTTTGAGAATACTGGCACCCATCCATGAGCGCATGAACCTTCTACAAATATGTAGATATACTACAATAAGAAGAGGCAATATTTACGTGCATTTAACGAATTGACCAGCCATAATTTACAATCACACATGATGTAAAACATGAGTGATTTGTTGTTGGCGCCGCGGGTCCCGACGTGGGCGTCGTTGTCGACGCCACTGCCGTTGAACCCTCCTTGAATATATAGGCTCTGGAATTCAGTCTCACGCAACGACGTATGCTTGTGTGTCTGCTAAAAGGCTTTGATCGATTTGAGGGCTCCGTGGCTATGGGACAACTCAAAACTCGCGAAATGCTGCACAGAAGCCATCAGGTCAGACTTGATACGTTGTTGACCTTGTAATTACCGGATAATCGGGTAATGAGATCGGCTTCGATATTACTCTCCCCGCTGCCTTACCCGTCGGCAACCCTTTACCACTGATTTTTTTCGTTTTACCGGGTAACGAAGGGTGTCTTACCTTACCTCGCCGAGGCCTACCTACAAACCTATGAGGAGGTGACAGGCTAGATTGCACTTTGTACGTGTAAGGCACACCTAGTCGCGTTATCTACAAACAAACAGACAGACAGACACGAATGAGTATGATCTAGAAAGCTCGGTATTCATCTTGCGCACACTCACTGATTGCTTGACCCCCGGGCTCGCAATTGTAACTGTCTACATTGTACCTCTTAGGTTCTCTAATAAATGGACGCGTCTGTACGCTTTTTCGATGTGTAAAGAACGGAAGTGGCTGAGAGATCGTCGAACATCATTATGCAATACAGCATCAATGAAAATTCGTTCACATTCGTCACGCTAAAGAGGGGTCCCGAGACATCTTGGCAGTACACGGCCAAACCATGGCGAGATGTAGAGATTTGTCGTATATTAAGTATACTTGTAAGAAAACGTGTCTTCAAAGAAAGACACTGCAAGAGTTTTTCTTCAATGCGTGACCCGATTTGCGCGCGAATTTGTACATGTTTCTTTTCTCATCACCGAGAGCATCCCAGGCATGACCAGCCGCAGCAATGCTAGCAACTCAACAAATCTACGAGCTGGAACTTGACATTGGTTGCAATCCCATGTATCCATAAGCTAATGAAAATGGCTAGCGCAATAAAGCTTCGAGTGATACAGATAGCTAGAACTGTGTCGCATGCGACTCAGTGTGAGATTGAATCGAAGTCACTCTTTAGACTGTTACCTTGATGGATAATGTGCAGCGTACATCATTTCTCGCTGTTGTTTTGATGGATGAGTAATGCTTTACATTTCGTTTAGCCATCATTCGTTTACAAGCTGCAGTAGTCAATATTTGATCCGGATCTACTTCGTTAGCTGTGGTGACGTCAGTGACGTGTGCGTAAGGATATTACTCACATTCGACTTGTAACGTCAAAACGGTAGCGCTGCGGCACGTTTCCACGAGTGCATATAACGGCAAAGTAGCGTTAGCGACCGCATGAATCTTTGCTGAAGCAGTTTTGGCCAAGGAGAACGTATGGCAAAACTAATGTGTAAATGTCAGCTGAAATTCGGACTGTGACGAGGAGTTGACAACAACTACCTGACAAGGATTAGATCGATCTGCTTACAATACAAAGGAGGTCGAAGTCAGCCGTGGCATGACTGTTCCTGGTTGAAACTGCTTAGATCGGGGAACCAGTTTCCCATGATTGGTCGGCACGCAATAGTCCGTACACTACTCTTTTTCCCGTCAAGATCAAAGAATCAATGCAAATTGACTATTGACAAGAACGGAGCGCACCAGTAGCCTTATCGCTGACGTGGTGATGAACCAAATAAAAGGAATACAAACGGAGCTACATTGCACTCAGGCATCGAACAGAGACCATCGCTACTCCGGCTTTACCTATCCGTTATAGACGATAAAGTATGACGCCAGCCCTCGCTTCCATAGTGCGCAGTTGACAGTAGTTGGATAAGTACTGCCTCAAACTCGCTATACGGCGTCTTGACGGTAACGAACGTCGGATGGTACGTGAGCTGCGACACATCCGCCGACTTGTACAGCACGAATCCAGCGGTAGCTACAACGCACACAGCTTCGATTACAACAGCCACGAGGACGCCGGTTGACGAGCCGTCAGATTGACACGAAAGTCTGTGCGGTCATGACGGGTTCTTTAGACGATGGAGTTGTAGGGCTACTGTTATCAACTGTGAAGAGGACGCAGCCCCAAGCGCCGGTCTTGAGGGGTTGGCAGGTACTGTTTACAGGTAGCACACACGTGCCTTCCTTGTAACTAGCCATTGAGGCGTCACAATGGGATGCAGCCTTCTCTCCCATTGCGGGACAAGAGCCCGTAGGCTGGGGGGCCAAACCCACTGCAAATAGGTCCTTGAATGCGATAGGTCGCGTCGCGCTCGACACCCACCAGGTAGTAATCTGCAGGCGGAGGAACTGCAGAGGCGTACGTCGGTGGAGTGGTGGCGTCATTCATGTCGGAGCGCTCCCAAGTGCCGTCAGAAGGGACTTGAATGAATTGATTGGTCCACCGACTTCTGGAAGGACCGAGTAGAATCTTGCTAGCTTCCTCATCAGAAGGGTTGCTGTCATCCGTTTCGTGGTGCGTCACAAGGTCGTTCGTGTCGATTGCAATGGTATTTGAGTGCTCCATAGTAGTAGGAAAACCAACTGCACTGTAGCTCGAGATGTCGTCGGTACCGGCTGCCAAAAGCGCCATGGCCATCGTAATAGCTGGTGTCTTCATGTTCGTAATGCAAAAGATGTCAATTGAACAGTGCGTACGCGATGGAATATTTTAAAATGAACTTAGAGCTCCGAGGAAGCATGGCAAGGACCAGGGCAAGTGGATTCTGCGCAAGGTCAGTCAGCAATCGCCTTGTTCATTTGCAAAAATGCAGAAGGATGCGATAGGTACAGTAGATGGGGGGGGAACTCTCGGACCGGTCAGTCATGTTCTTTATTGAACAGATCACTTGCTTACCTTGTACGTCTCGAAACATACTTGTACAATAAATCTATTTGCTTAAAACAAATGATAACCACATCTGCAACACAAAAAGAACTATTCTTTAGCGCTGTAAACATCAGCAGCACAAAAAGAACTATTCTTTAGCGCTGTCAACATCAGCTGCTGCATCCGCATTCTCCACTACCCTGTCTTCTCAGAAGCGACGTTACAGTTTACAACCAGCTCAACTCGAGCGAGAAAGCGGCTTACACGAGATCGTCAATCTGCTGAGTGGATACTTCGGTGACGTTTCACTACCCATAATCAGCAGCCAGCTGCGACCACGGACGGATACGAGACTCTCCGGGGAGCCAAGAAGCTGGCCCCCTTTTTCTTGAGCGGCAAGCCCCCCAAAGTGGGGCCGTGGTAAAAAGGAGGAGGGCTTCTCCTCGCTGCGTGCGCTACCGGAGGCAGCGCAGCGAGTGGCACGATCACTTGCTTCCCTTGTATGCCTCAAAACACACTTGTACAATAAATCGATTTGCTTAAAACAAATGATAACCACATCTGCAGCACAAAAAGAACTATTCTTTAGCGCTGTAAACATCAGCTGCTGCATCCGCATACTCCACTGCCCTGTCTTCTCAGAAGCGACGTTACAGTTTACAACCAGCTCAAATCGAGAGAGAAAGCGGCTTACACGAGATCGTCAATCTGCTGAGTGGATACTTCGGTGACGTTTCACTTCCCATGATCAGCAGCCAGCTGCAACCACGGACGGATATAGACCCTCTGGGGAGCCGGAAAACTGTCATCCTTTTTACTTGGGCGGGAAGTCCCCCAAAGTGGGGCCAAGGTAAAAAGGGCGAGGGCTTCTCCTCGCTGCGTGCGACTCGCTGCGCTGCCTCCCGAAGCGCACGCAGCGGTAAGCACGATATTCTAGTGCAAGGCACGTCGACGATGGACCGACTCAACCTCCAAAACGAATACGTTCCTACCTTTCACAGTCTGCCTACAACTCGCCCACACGTTCGCTGAGCACGAGCCCACGAGGAGAACATTCCCAAGTTTGTAATGACTCTTGTTGTAACGGGGAAACAACAGGGGTCATCACGGTCCTTTGTAATGACCAAATATATTGGTGTGTTACACACAGAAAGAGATTAGTATCACTGGTAAGCCGTGCTTTTGCATCATATACGCTAAGCGATACTACCGTACCCTATCGGTTATGGTTAAAGGATATCTATCGGAATAGGGTCTTCATAGAGACGACTTAGTTCTGGAGTGGTACTCAAGAAGAACTGCGATGAGGACTGTTCAATTAGGTAGCATCCATTATGTTAATGACGTAAGTTAAAGTTATTATTGCTACAAAGCAGTAAATATATTCAGTTCCATCTTTGATCAGTTTCAGACACGTGTCTTTCTAAGACGTCTCTGGTCATAAGAGTTGAGTGTCTGAGTTAAGGCTAAGTGTAACGGGGTGAATCGTTATATAACAATTTATAAGAAATTGTTAATAGAATATAACTATAAGAGTTATACTCTCAGAATATTATCATAAGGACAAATATTCTGTAGCACTTACGAGTAGTTCCTAATTGGTTGATATAGGCCATTATATCAACCAACGAAGACGCGCCACGACAGACGCACGCAATGAGTGGTGAGCAGATAACTGATTTACACATTTGTATTTAGACATAGTTAGATGAAGATAAATAGTGATTTATTGCAGACATTAACTATTATAAATACAGTTCTACTTTTTACTTTCAACAAGTACTCGCTTCTTCTTACCGTCTTCCTCTGCACGTACGAGTGTACGTGAAGTTCCGAGGCACCGCCTTATTCTGTCATCAGAATAAGTAGCTTGTACTGTCATCAGTACAAGCTTCAGGGTGCTTTGTTACACTTGGTAGCACTTCGTAGTCCGTCCAAGGACCGCGTTCACATCCAACATGAATATGTTGGATGATGAAGATGACCAAAGCTTTCACGCTACGCGTGACGGCTACTCCCATTTGAGCGATGTCGAATGGGATGCGGTTGAACGAATGGGTTCGACCATGGGCATCCATGCTGTTAGCGTCATGCTAGAGGCTCTCAATAAAGATGCCCAACATGCTACTATCGCCAAGTTCATTCAAAATGAACTTGACGCCGAACGCGAGAAAGTAGCCTTGCTTCACCAACAAGGTTCTCAACAAGCAGAGTTGTTGAGAGAACAAGGTGCTCAACAGTTTGAACTGTTGAGACAGCAGCAGGCTGCTGCTGGCGGGTCGATGCACTCGCGTCGACCCGAGACTTTGAAGATTGACATCTCCAAGTATAGGGGGGTCGAAGAAGACTCCCTCTTGAGATGGTTCGTCGAATTGGATGACGCCATAAGGGCGCGTCGCATCGACGACAAGGATATGCAAGTTGCATTTGCCCAGTCAAATCTGGCAGGACGTGCCAAGACTTGGGCACTGGGGCTCAAGTTGCACGACCCATATGCGTTTGGGTCGTTGGAAGTCTTCAAGTCGCGGCTCAGACAAACGTTTGAACCGCCTAGAGCTGAGTTCAGAGCTCGAACCGAACTCTTGAAGCTCAAGCAGGGTAAGCGTGATGTGCACGCTTACGCTCAACATATACGACATCTTACGAGTTGTATAAGTTCCAATCCGGTGGATGAACACACGTTGGTTTCGGTGTTCATGCAGGGTCTTGCGGATGGTCCCGTCAAGACTCACCTGTTCCGGCTTGAACTAGATTCACTAGAACAAGCCATTTCCATTGCGGAGCAGGAAGACTTCAGTCTGAGACAGACTCGCGCCAGCTCGACATCATATCGTCAACCGAGACGATATGACAACGGAGGTCCAGAGCCGATGGAACTTTGTGATGTAGAGAGCGAGAAGGCTCGCTCTACAGGCTACAAGAAGTTGCAGAGATGCAACAGATGTCAAAAGACAGGACACTACGCTTACGAGTGTAGTGCCCCTCGTCCAGTGTCTCGCAACACTGGGCGTAGTGACCGTCCACCCATGAGAAAGGGGCAGGGACGAGGGTCCGCAGTTGGTGCAAAGACGCAACAACGGGATGGACCGTCAAAAAACGGACAGGATCAGTAGGTGCGGAGCACCCTACTGGTCTAGCAACGTCAAGAGAATTTGTAGGCCTCTTGATGAAAGTTGCTCCCAGCACACAAACGTTGTGCGTTGCTGCTCTAGGTAATGAGGTCTCACTCATTACCTTGAAACTCGAAGTGACGAATAAGTTGTCCCTTCGAGCTCTAGTCGATTGTGGGGCGTCCAACAATTTTGTGCGACGCCAATCGCTAGAAGATGGTCACTTTAAGCTCAGTGAATGTGACACACCTCCTACGAGGATGACGGTACGTCTTGCGACAGGCGCATCCGTAACCGTCATGAAGCGTATAGTGAAGATCCACTATACGCTAGAAGATACCCAATATGACGATGACTTTATCGTATTGGATTTGGATGACAAATTTGATGCCATCCTTGGAATACCGAGGCTCAGAAGGTACGAACCACGAGTAAACTGGCAACATCGGACAGTAACGATGCCTGCCGCTTGTTCATCAGATGGCCATCTGATGAACGTTTTGGAGCGTCCACAAGCGTGTGGATGTACTACGAGTGAGTGCGATGGCCTCACTTGTGGTATGGTCGTTAGTACGACTGCACAAAACCTTAGTGTACCAAACGGTTACACTTCGGAGCAAAGTTCCGGCGGCTGTGAGGAAACACAGGCTGCGCCGAAGGTCCACCACTCGAATAAGTCGGGTGGACTGGGACAAAGATGTATCCCTAGCGGGGAACATCTAGAAGAGAAACAATCGATCGCTCAGGTTAAGCGAAACGATAATCCTAGATCGACTGGAGAGTCTTTCGTAGAGGATCTCGCTGTGGTTGCGCAACCACAGCTAGAGGAAGTTAAGGGAATAAGTCCCGATCTTACAAATACGGCGGAAATAAGTTCCCCGAAACCCGCGGGAATAAGTCCCCGGGAAGCCGAAGGAATAAGTCCTTCGAGGCCTGAGGGAATAAGTCCCCAGGAAATGACAGAGACATTGAATGTCATAGTCAATAACGGATCGAGTGTAGGCGCTTATACACTTGATCTGATTGCGCCTCCGAAGTTGACTTCGGAGATCACTCAGTTGCCAACGCTCGAACATAAAAGGTTCTTGCGTGATCTGCGTAGTGGCAAAGTCAAGCAGATCTGCGTACTCGTCGCTGACGACGAGTGTGTAACCGACATAAGGTCAGCAACAGTGTTTACTGAGAACGAGAGAGTTCTCAGTAGTTCATCTATGGACGAGAGTGTCCTAGATGAAAAGACACGAATTGAGCGATATGACTCCCAATCGTGGGAATCGCTCAAGAAAAATCATCTCTATGAAGATTTGGTTGAATTCAAGGATGTATTCCCTGAAACTGTTCCGTGCGAATTACCGAAGGATAAATGTATTCGACACGAGGTCGAGCTTAAACCAGGCTCGAAGTACTGTGTCATGAAGCAGTGGCCACTGCCTCGTGAACAAGTACTTGCGATCGACAAGTTCTTTGCCGATCGTTTAGCTGCGGGCCATGTGAGGGAATCAACTTCCCCACATAGCTCTCCGACCTTCTGTGTGCGAAAAGCAACAGGAGGGTGGCGGATAGTGCACGCGTTCAACAAATTGAACGCTGCAACGGTACCGGCTCAGACGCCGATACCGAGGAAGGACGTAATCATTGATGGTATGTCAAAGAGTACCATCTTTTCGTCCATGGATTTGA